GGACCCATCTCGTGACTTGTTGCATAACCATTCTGCTGCCATTTTGTGGCCCCCGTTTCCACCCCTCACTCGCTGCTCCATGTCCAAGCCCACCAGTCACACCTTTTTTAGAAAAGCTTTGCCTGCCCTCTTATAGAGAGCTGCTTATCAATAGAATTATGCAGGGCTATTTTGGGGCAGGAACGCACAGGAACGGAGTTCCGGCTGGCTCCCGAGTTGGCCACGCCCAGCAGGAACTCATTAGCATAATAGGCCACACCCAACAGCAGGAACTCATTAGGACTGGCTACATTAGGGGTGTGTGGCCTAACAAGCTTTGAGGTTACTGTGCCATTGATCCATGTGGGCCAGACTGACCAGGTCAAGGCAGAGCCTGTGAATGTATGAGTATGACTTCGCCTCCGAGCTTTCCTTCCAGGCCTTTGACAAGCTGGCACTGAACCCCCACAGCATTGCCAGAAAGCCACATGCATTCCAGTGCCGCACAATTCTCCTCCCACCGCTGGAGATGCCCAAGGATGCACCCGCTAAGCAGGCCTCAGCAAAAACTGGCAAGTGACTGGGGAGCCAGTACCCATGACCTGCCACTGCTCTGAGGCCGTGCAGTGCTGGCAGAAGCCAAGCTCACACCTCAGAGTTCCTAGTCTGGAACTAGCAGCCAAGGTATGGGTAACATGGGGCATGGGTGTAGGGTGTGTGTGTCTGTTTCTCTGTGAGTTTCAGCAGCTGTAGGAAAAGCCCTGGAGATAAATATATGTAGAGCACCCCAGATGACGCTCTGTGTGAAACACCAAGGGCTTTTTTGGTAACCACATAACAAATCCTCACTTTCCCACTGCACCACTGGCATTCGGCCTTGCCTTCTTTTGTTTTGGTGACTGGTGCAGCTATCTTCTTGTTCTCTATAACTCACATCCATGAGAAGGATAAAAAGTAGCTGGCTCTTTCCAAGAGTAGGAAAGATCTAGAAAAACTGGACAAAGCCAATGCCATTTTTTAAAGGATACCCTTGGTATTGGGGCTTCTCTCAATACTGAGGCCCCAGTTGTGAGGGTTCAGAATGGAGAGACTAAGTCAGATGAAGAATAGGGCTGATACCAATTAAAACTCACATCCATGAGAAGGATAAAAAGCAGCTGGCTCTTTCCAAAAGTAGGAAAGATCTAGAAAAACTGGACAAAGCCAATGCCATTTTTTTAGGATACCCTTGGTATTGGGGCTTCTCTCGATACTGAGGCCCCAGTTGTGAGGGTTCAGAATGGAGAGATTAAGTCAGGTGAAGAATCTTCTAATTGGTATCAGCCCTATTGACATCTTGAAGAGGATACCAGGCATGAAGGACAAGATGGTCGCCCTTTGCGTGGATCTTCTAACTGGTCTTTGTACAGTGAGGCTTGGAGATGCTTCCCTAGGAAGGGAAGGGATCTTTGGAACCTGGAGCACTTATTTATTTTGAGAATTGGTTCAGGAGACTCAATACTGAGATTGGGTAGGAGGACTATATAAGCCTTCTTTGGTAACACTGGTGGAGCCAGATGAGAGGCACCTTCCATCTAACATTTTTTCTCTCTCGAGCTTTTCAGGTTTAGTGATGACTTCACCTTCCTCTTTTCAGTCTGGGAAAGAAAGATTCCAGGACTGCTGGCACCAAGGGGAGTTTGATAGAAGGACTTTTGGCATCAAAGCCGAATTAGAATTGTTCTAATGTCGAGGCAGCCCATTCTCAAAGAAGTGATTGGAGCCTTGATAAATGTTTTTCCCCCCTTGGCTGTTTAGTGAACTTTAAGCAGGACTTACCTTGCTTCAATGTTTGGGCCTCTTCAAGACACAGCAGGCACTGCAGTTTACCTGCGCAAGAATAGCAGTGTTTGAAGGAGGTGGTTTTTGCCAACAGGTAGCCAGAGAGATGCAAAAGGGACTTCCTATACGAAGATTTTGGCAAGAATACTATATTCGGCAGAAAAATTAAGTTTACGCACACAAGGATCTATACACAGTTCAAGAGAAGGATATGAAAAACGAAAATGCAACAGGTTCACTAACAGTGCTGCAGCTATAGCAGATTAAAAGACACCAAGTGGTCAGGAATGACTCCTCACCTGGGGACACATGGGGTTTGAAGCTGTGCTTGTGAGGGAGATTTCACACCTCAGTCACAGCTCTGGAAGTTTCTAGAACAGTTGCTGTGCATCGTGATACACAGAAACCACAAAGAAGCCCCACCAGAGAGTAACTGATGCTGCAGCAAATCTGAGATCACGAGCTTGTGCCTAGGTTCCCTGAAGTAATTTTTTAAGCTCTCAAAAAAACTCCACAGACTAGTCTGGCAACCCACAGTAATTTCCACAGGCAGGTATCAGTGACCTGCCCTAGTGGAGAGAGGGGTCTAATTACATCATACACTTCAGTGATTTGAAAAAAGCAAGTGCCCTATCTGTGGAATCAGCCTACTTTCTAATTGAGGACTGTGTGCAGCAGTGATTTTAGCAAATGCATACATGAAGACTTGGCGAAGCATTTAGTCTTGCTGATTCTCATCGGCAAGCCTTCCCCCTCTTTTGGGCTATTGTGACCCTAAAAAAAGGACAACATCTGAAAGGGTCAGTCTGTTCATAGCTACTAGCTGCAACCTGTGTGCCTGATATCCTGTGGTGCCTGCCACTGATAACTTAGGGTCATTGCTGCTAACAAATATTTGACAAATCAATCTGATGCAACCTTGAACACTGAACAGCTCCAACTCGTTGCTGTATGCAAATACCAGCAAATGGCATGGCATTCGTTCTCCTTTCATGCAACACGCTTGCTGCTTCTCTTAGGCCACAAATTAAGACAGACATATTTCAACAGGGTGATACTTGGCTTTGCAATCTACCTTACATTCATATATGCAATATGTACCCCTCATCTCTGATGGACTACCTAAAACATCATCCCTTCAAAATATTTTGAAATGAAAAACAATTCATGAAAGAGACAGAAAAAAGAAAACGCTTCAAAGCAAATTCAGGCCCTAATATTCTCTCATTTTTTGAGGTGGGATGCCACAAAAGCAGTGCTTGGGGAGAATACCAATCTGTGAAAGAAGTACTTAGAAAGAAACCACATAGAGCTATTCTCCTTTCTGAAATTTTAAAAAATGGAAGTTATTTAAGAACGCACTGATAGCAGCAGACCTGACACAGCTCATAGGTAAGTTAAAAGGGTTCATAAACAGTGACCAACCTGAACCAAATTTATTAAGCCTTTGGAAGCAAGGACTCTAAACTTTTAGCAAATCAACTAAAACAAAGAACGCGTAGAATCCATACAAAGAACAGCAGTGATTTCTGTACTGCATAATGTGCCACGTGAATATGTACGCTGTTGCTTCTTTACTGGTGGTTCTAGACTTCTAAAATCCTAATGCATTGGTCACTGAATGTCCCATTTTGCCAATTGTATTGCCTCACTCTGTGTAATCCACCCTGAGTCCCTGTGAGAAAGTCGGACTATAAGTAAAGTAAATAAAATAAGTACAGGACAGAACACCAAAAATAAAAGCCTCCTGGGTGAGTCTTCACTGTGAGTGTTGCCTTCTGGGGCAACAGAACAGAGACTGGGAACTACGCAGAGTATTGAAACTTCTTCCAGACACAGGCCCTCTGGGGAGAAAAGTTGAAAAAAAATCCCTTGCTTATGTTCATTCAGACATGACACTGAAGTTAAATTGTCAAAGTGCGCCACTAGTTAATTTTGTCTTCCAGTTACGTGTGGGAGTTCCACACGTGCTGAAACATGATCAATACCAGAACATTTTACTTTGTTGCAAGCTTATGGAAGTTCTTTCTAAGCAACGTATTTATAAATGCCAAGGAATACACCATGGCCTCCCTTAAGCGCCATATTTGATTTATCCAAGACAGGGCTTGGCTTGGGCATGTTTCTGTGCTCATTCTCAAGTCCCGCATGAAGAGCAACAGTTATCTGTATCTAGTGACTTAAGCAAGGAAAGAGGAGTAAACACCCATTCAAATACTAAACTAAATGAGCAGACCAATGATTACATACCTTTATTTTGTATTTGCTCAAGAGCCTTACAAATATTGAATCCAAAACATTATTGCAATAGAAATCTCCAAAATGGAATGTTTAGGTATTTCCATATAAAAAATGCTCCAGTAATTTGCAGATATCGCTTGAGCTGTTTGCATCTATGACAGTCGTTTTCAATAGACACCTCCCTTGCAGTAGCAAAGCTTCTCCGGAAACCAGGTTTCAACCCTGACAGCAGTTTAGCAGATATCAAACCAATACATAAGTTCGTGCTTCTTTACTGGTGGTTCTAGACTTCTAAAATCCTAATGCATTGGTCACTGAATGTCCCATTTTGTCAACTGTATTGCCTCACTCTGTAATCCACCCTGAGACCCTGTGAGAAAGGCGGACTATAAGTAAAGTAAATAAAATAAGTACAGGACAGAACACCAAAAACAAAAGCCGCCTGGGTGAGTCTTCACTGTGAGGGTTGCCTTCTGGAACGACAGACACAGGCTCTCTGGGGAGAAAAATTTAAAAAAATCCCTTGCTTATGTTCATTCAGACATGACACTGAAGTTAAATTGTCAAAGTGCGCCACTAGTTAATCTTGTCTTCCAGTTACGCGTGGGAGTTCCACACGTGCTGAAACATGATCAATACCAGAACATTTTACTTTGTTGCAAGCTTATGGAAGTTCTTTCTAAGCAACGTATTTATAAATGCCAAGGAATACACCATGGCCTCCCTTAAGCGCCATATTTGATTTATCCAAGACAGGGCTTGGCTTGGGCATGTTTCTGTGCTCATTCTCAAGTCCCGCATGAAGAGCAACAGTTATCTGTATCTAGTGACTTAAGCAAGGAAAGAGGAGTAAACACCCATTCAAATACTAAACTAAATGAGCAGACCAATGATTACATACCTTTATTTTGTGTTTGCTCAAGAGCTTACAAATATTGAATCCAAAACATTATTGCAATAGAAATCTCCAAAATGGAATGTTTAGGTATTTCCATATAAAAAATGCTCCAGTAATTTGCAGATATCGCTTGAGCTGTTTGCATCTATGACAGTCGTTTTCAATAGACACCTCCCTTGCAGTAGCAAAGCTTCTCCGGAAACCAGGTTTCAACCCTGACAGCAGTTTAGCAGATATCAAACCAATACATAAGTACCCTTTGCCTGAGGACACTTGTAACTTAGGTTTGTATGCACTGTAGTGTTTACATCACCAAAATCCAGATATTAGTTAAGATATTAGCCAAGCAAAATCTTTCAACATAAGAAGCCAGGGTAGATATGGTTGTTGAGTGCAGTTGTTGAATGTTCCATGTACACACAGAGAGAGTGAACTAAAGATGTCTTTAGTTCTGTAATAAATCAATACAGCTTTGCAGGGCAGAAACATTGTTCTGGAAGACAAAAAGGAGAGGAGGTAAATAACTGGAGAAGAAGAGAAGAAGAAGAGATTGGATTTATACCCCGCCCTTCACTACCCAAAGGTGTCTCAGAGCGGCTTACAAGCTCCTTTCCCTTCCCCTCCCCACAACAGACACCCTGTGAGGTAGGTGGGGCTGAGAGAGCTCTCGACAGAAACTGCTCTTTTTCAAGAACAGCTCTTATCAGAACTACGGCGTGCCCAAGGTCATCTAGCCAGGTGCAAGTGGAGGAGTGGGGAATCAAACCCGGTTCTCCCAGATTAGAGTCCGCGCACTTAACCATGACACCAAACTGGTCAACTTCTCCATCAAGTTGTGTTATATGATGAGACCCTAAAATCCTCCCAAACTATATTAAATCTGCAAGATGATATAACATTTCTCCCCTCCACCACGAATCTGGAGAAAGGAACTGGCGGGATGTCCACGCCCTCCCCTCTGGGCATGCGCAGTGGGGTTCCTGCGCATGCCCGAGGTCTGGGTGCGAAAATCCGTTAAAGAGCTCGCTACAATGCCGATCGATCCAGCGCATGCGCACTAGATCCCATGGGTGTGAAGCACAGAGACCACGTCGAAGATCTGGCCTTACAATCCAGTAGTCTTGTCTCTAACCAGGGGTCCATAACCTTTTCGAGTCTGTGGGCAATGCTCCCTCTAAGCTGTGGAGTCTCGTGAGCAAAAATTCAACTTTGTGAGCTGCTGGCATGAAAGTTGTGGGTGAGCAATTTAGCTACTGCATAAATTAGTTTGCTCTGGAGCCATCCCTTCCTAAGCTAAGACAAAAATGTGTGAGCTGGAGGCTAAACAACCGTGAGCTAACTCACACTAACTCAGCTTAGAGGGAACACTGCCAATGGGCACACTTGAAATTCTGACAGAGGGTGGTGGGCGCATCCACAAAATGCCTGCTGCAGGAGAGGGAGCCACACACACAGTACATGGAGAACAGGGGCCATTAAGAATAATAATAATTTGTAGATGAGTGAGAATAAAACCAACATAGTGTTGGCAGCTGCTGCCCAAACAATACTTTAATCTGCACAACCAATTGGTCTCCAATAGCCAATCAGAACCCCGGCTAATTAAGAGCCACACTCACTTTCAGAAAACACCTGGTGGGCATCTAAACAACCCCCATGTTATTTTACAGTGAGACAGCTATTCCTTTTTATTGGCCAACTGAAGTCTCCATATGATTTTCCTAAAATTCAGAACTGATTCAGAACCGTGAATCTTCAGTACACAGGAAAGCAATGCAATGGGACCTGTTAAGACCAACTAAAATCCAGTAGATTTTAGTGTGATTTAGCTGGGGATAACGGTTGTTGGTATCAGGATTGTGCATGCAGACCAGAACAGTGATAAAAGTTCAAGGCTGATGTGGAAATTTTTATGCTGTTACATATGACCTGGATGGGCAAGTTAGAGCCCTCTTTACTGAAGCGCTTAAAGAGCAACTCATTTTCACTGAGTTGCTGTAGTTAGATTAGGCTCTAGATGTGTCAAGCTCAGGCCAGTTCATAGTTCACTGTTCACTTTCGCCTGTCCTGGTTCTTATCACTGGACCTTCCCTTGCCATTTCGAATTCCTGGGGGGAAGGAGTGTATGTTGTTGGAGTACATGGGAGTAGAAGCTTTGTAACTTTCTTGAAGGGCGCCCCAAGACAGTTTCCCATGAGACTGTCCTTGGAGATCTGCATGCCAGGCTAGGTTAGATAGGGGCAACGTATATCTGTCCAAGTTGCCATAGAAATACCAGAGACTAGGTGTGACTGTGTGTGTGCATGGAATGCATGGGTTTTACCTGTATCTTGTATTCTCCCGCCTTTTCCTTCAGTCCTAACAAAGGTTTTGGAACCCACAGCATCATTTCTCTAATAAAGCATTACACTGCCAAAATAGTGTGTGTGGAGAGTGCATTGACTGGGGGGACCTGACAAGATGCAAGCCTTAGGTGAAAGACAACAAAACACATACCTTAGCATGCTTGATCTCCAGTTCAGTCATTTCAATTAGATTTTTACGAAATGCTGCTATTCGCTTCCGTTTAAAGTTGTTCAATTCTGCCATGGAGAACAACAACGTACAGAAATTATTGGGGGAATGGAGTGTAGAGAGGTGTTCCCCCTGTATATGTGTGCAAAAGATAACCAAGCATGTGCTCCTAAAGACATGTTTTCTTCAGTATGCATTACTATTCGTTTCAGAACAATCGGTGCCTTCCACACTAGTGGCTTAGTAAAAAGGTAAAGGTTCCCTTGCTCGAAAGCCAGTCGAATCCGACTCTAGGGTTGCGGTGCTCATCTCCGTTTCAAAGCCGAAGAGCCAGCGCTGTCCGAAGACATTTCCGTGGTCATGTGGCTGGCATGACTAAACACCAAGGCGCACGGAACTCTGTGACCTTCCCACCGAAGTGGTACCTATTTCTCTACTTGCAATTTCTTGCTTTCGAACTGCTAGGTTGGCAGGAGCTGGACCTAGAGATGGGAGCTCACTCCGTCATGGGGCACACTCGGGTCTCAGAACTGCTGAACTACCGACCTTCCACAGCCTGCAGTTCAGCGTCTTAACCACTTGAGCCACTGCAGCTCCCTAGTGGCTTAGTATTACACCTTTAATACATCATTGGTTAAAGCTCTCTACTAAGCAACAGCCCAAAACAGTAGACAGAGATGCTGTGGATGTAATACATTATGCATTTGCACAGCTTTGCTACAAGCAAAGGGCTGGACCCCAGCAACACATCCTGCTAAAGGCCACACTTTCCCCCAGCCTGAGGAGGCTTTCCCTGACACTACCATGAGATTCGTCCTGTTCCCATGAAGTGGGCTTTACCTTGTTTGGCAGAGAGAGAAAGTTTTTCAAATCTTTGACAGCACTCTTGCTGGTGTATTTCTGCCTGTCTGACATCTTTGCCTTTCAACCGAGCTTTATCCAGAGCTTTATTTGAATTCTCGTAGTCCACAAGGGCCCGTGTACGTCTGTACAGGAGATCCTGAAAACAGCAAGTTACAGTAACAAGAAAATGAGCTGTTAAGTACATTTAATTCAAGCATCTCGCTCAAGGAGCACTTCTCTAAGCACGCACAACTCCATGAAGAAAGTTAGGATTCCCACTGAACCCGGGAACAGATGAAGAGGAGCAAAGGGGTGAGGATGGAAGGCACAAAGGACACCAACATCTGGACAGCTGTGGAGGCCTAGAAAAAACTAGCACTTCCAAGATGACACCAGAAAATCTAATAGTACCTGCATCTTTTGAGCACTAATGCGCATAGCTAAACCTCAAATACCTCCCCCTCCTCCTAGAAGATGCCTACTGCTCAGAGCCCGTCAAAAGCCCTGGCAAAGAAACAAGCCTTGCTCTGCCTCCAGTGAAGGAGCTCCCCATACCTCTTCAGGGAGCCTGTCCCACCAAGCAAGAGCTGTAATGGAAGAGGTCCGGGCTCTGATTGATGCCAAGCGCACCACCCTAAGTGAGGGAAATGCTAGCAGGTGGGAGCCTGAAGACTGTAGCTGGCGCACAGAACAGACAAGAAGAGGTGGTTCTTCATCTATATGGTTCCCAGGCCATGCAAGGCTCCACAGATCATCACCACCACCTTGAACTGAAACCAGAAACAAACTGGAAGCCAGCATAGCTGTTTCAAACTACGCAGCGTTATGTTCCCAATGGCCAGCTCCTGGTAATAGACAGGCTGCTGCATTGTGGACCAGCTGCAATTTCTGGATTCCCTTCAAGGGCAGGCCAATATAGAGGAGTGCACTAGAGTAATCCGACCATGAGGTTACAGTAGCATGGATCAGTGCAGGCAGATTGGCAGAATTTGTTTTTTAAAAGGAGAGTGTTGGTAAAGCAGATGATTGGCAGAATTTTTTTTTTAAAGGAGAGTGTTGGTAAAGCAAATGAGGCTGATTGAATGTGTTCTTGGCCGCAGCACCAACCTGCTTTTCAAGCTGCAAGGCTGGGTGCAGGAGCACCTCAAAGCTCTTAACCTGCTCTGCAAGAGCTGCTCTCGACCACTAGTCACCCGTGGAGCTTCCAAAGAATGCAAGCATACCGCAGGATCACAGAACATCTTGCTTTAAGAATTAAAGAAATCTAAACACTCAAGTCATGTGCTCAAGAAAACCCTGAATGTTAAGTGACCTGGCTGTATTTCCATGCCACATAGGCATGAGACGACATTACCTATTGGTATATGGTCTACAAAACAGCCAGAATGAAGGAATTGCAAGGGAGGACAGGATAAGAACCCTATGCTTCTCCCCTGATCAAATGATACTCTCTTCTGCTGCAGCCACTGTGTCAAGCTCTACTGTTCTAGCCATCAGCCAGACTGTACTTCTGGATATAGCCTCTCAAACGACTGGATAGCTGTGCCACCGGCAGTCTTGCGCAGATGGCACCCGAGGATCTATCAGCCTCCAAGTGTGGGGAGAGGCCTAGACATGACTGTAAAATCAGATAAGCCTGAAAGTTTCTGAACTAAGCCAGGGCTATATAGAGAACAAGTGTCTATTTATTTTATGAATTAAATGGATTAAAGACCCAGACTTGTGAAGCCTATGACTGAGAAAGATATCAGGGGAAAAGCCTCATGTATCGAGTGAGATTACAGAATTATTTGTAAAATGGCTTATTCCGTTTTTAGGTTTACATATTTCTGGAACTTCGTATAATTTTATTTTTTTAGCTCTACTAAAAATCAGACAGCATTCAAATATTCAGCAATCAGAAATTCATGAGTCAGATTTTGTTTACTGTGTATAATTTTATTTTTTTAGCTCTATTAAAAGATCAGACAGCATTCAAATATTCAGCAATGATAGAAATTCATGAGTCAGATTTTGTTTACTGTTCTTCACAGGGAATGGATATCGTATTCCATGTAGAGTTAGGATTCCACCTCTTGACTAGTACAAAGGGGAAGCTGGTTGATAGTGGAGGAGAGAACTTCCCGATTTTCTTCCAGACACAAGGAAAACCAAGGGCTGGTCACTGCTTTGAACAGACATGCTGAAAGATTCCCTTTTTCTTTGCAGAAGGCCCTGAAGGCTGCAGGTGATGTCACAGGACAGCCCAAGGCAAAGCAAGGTGAAGGCCCTGCCTTCTTCTTTCACATCAAGAACACTCGTTATGCTAGAGGGAAGGGTGAGGGTTCTCGGGGTAAGTATCATTACTGGAAAGCTTTCCTATGAGGGGATGAATGGACTACCACTTCAATTTAATCCATCGGTGGGACTGAGTTGAATGAGCCCTAAAAGAGATATGTCTGAGGCCTCCAAGGCTCTGCTAGTGATCTTAGGGGAGGTGGAAGTGAAGGGGCAGGAGGCAAGAAGAGAAGCATCCCCCTCTCTACTGCCGCTAGAGCTAGGGTAGAGAGGCAAGTAACCTGACCTACTGCACAGTTCATGCCAGGCCTTCACTCATTTTCAGAAGCCCCACCCAGTGAGGGAGCAGTCACCAAGTTCACATGCGCAGCCCAGCCCTTCCAATCTAGCTTCACAATAGATTGAGGAGAGGGTTGAAGATACTGCACGCCCTTTGGAAACAGACTCACTCTTCTCATCATGCCTGTACCATGTACACACAGCCTCTTGGCCTCACAGTGCTTGGAAGTGGGATTTAATCCAATGTTGCCTGACTCCTTGCCCTCAAAGTGGTACCTTCCCCTGTAATGCTGTGGAGTTGAACTACAGATTCCTAGTGAAGGAGCAGCTCCGGCAACATACTGGCATTTCTTTTGGCACAGCTCAGACTTCTAAAAGGGAAAGTTAAAAAGATATGTTTCAAGTGAGCACAAACACAGTTGGGACCTGGGGACTCTTGCATCACAGTGGACAATTCTTAGTGCTCCATGTTAGCCATTCTATGATAGATAGAAGAAGAAAAAGAGAAGAGAGTGGATTTATACCCCGCCCTTCACTTGGAGTCTCAGAGCAGCTTACAAGCTCCTTTCCCTCCCCCTCCCCACAACAGACACCCTGTGAGGCGGGTGGGGCTGAGAGAGCTCTTGACAGAAACTGCTCTTTTTCAAGGACAGCTGTGCCAGAGCTTGTGACTGACCCAAGGTCACATCAGCAGGTGCAAGTGGAGGAGTGGGGAATCAAACCCGGTTCTTCCAGATTAGAGTCCGCGCACTTAACCACTACACCAAACTGGCTCTCTGATAATTCTGAAAATGGTGGTAAAAAGCAGCACCATCAAGTCACAGCTGACTTATGGTGACCCCCATAGGGTTTTCAAGGCAAGTGACGTTCAAGGTGGTTTTGCCATTGCTTGCCTCTGTGTCACGGGCTGGCCCTGGTATTCCTTGGAGGTCTCCCATCCAAATACTGGCCAGGGCTGAGCCTGTTTAGCCTCAGAAATCCAACAAGATCAGGCTAGCCTGGGCTATCCCGGTCAGGTCAGTTCTGAAATACGGACTAGTTATACCTTTTACCAGCTCATTCTTCTCTGCTGTCATTTTAACAGGACAAGTAGACTCTCGGAACACGTGGCTGCATAATTGAGGGAACAAGTGGGCTGATAGAGAATGTGATGGGCTCCAATCCTTCATAATGCATCCTGAAGGTTGGGTTTCCCCCCTTCTGCTGTGGCTGCCACTACTTGGAGCCTTCCTTCAAACCGAGCATCCGGTATCAGCTTCAGTTAAGCTTATAACTAAGCCCCAGTTAAGGACAATTCACTTTTTGCCCTGTTTTTGGTAAGCAGGCATGAGAAGTTAACAAGAGACTCTTACCAGTTTATTTTATTTACAACACTGCTAAACAAAGCCAGCCTATCAGTGAAGCTACACTGGGGTCCCACGGGGTGCAGCATCAGGAGGGGCAAGACCTAGTCGTGACCAATGAGGTCCCAGAGGGGCAGCATCTGGTTACGTATATTGTCAATAGCACCTTATGTTGTTGTTTTAAGATTTAATGCTTTTATTACAGTGTTGTTTTTAGCTATTGTATATATGTAAGCCACCCTGAGCCTGTCTCGGTGGGGAGGGCGGGGTATAAATATAATATAACAACAACAACAACAACAATAGAGAGCCCAGAACCACCATAAAGTCATCTGTGGCTGAATGGGGACCAGAAACCTGCTTATCCCCACTCCGTTTCTCACCATTAACACTGCATTAGAGAGGCTCACATTATACTGTCTATTTCTTATACAGAATAGCCACAGGTTTTGCAAAGGAAAAAGGAGAAGCCTGCACTTACAAGCTGACACTGCAGGAGTTCATGCACGGCAGTGGTTGGAAGTTCTGAGCCATAGTGAATGAGAACCAACTCCATTAGCGAGTAAGAATCAAGTGGCAATATACAATATCCATTTTAACCTTCAGTCACAAGATTTTGCAGGGCATACTCATGTAGTTCTTTATTTAAGCCACAGTTCAGCCAGATTGTTTTATGAGAATGTTGGAGAAAAATCTGAAGACTCACTTTTGCTGCTTCTATATTGAGCATATAGTATCTTAGTAACTCTGAGAGCTTCAAATCTTCATCGGAAGACACACGATTCTCTATTTTCTATGGAGAGAATGACAGTTTAAAAATCATACCTGCCTTGGAGTTTTTTTAGTGAAGGAGAGGCAAGTGTGAGTGCAACATAAACAAATTCAAGTAGATTACCCTGAGTTTCTCAAAAAGTTCGGCAACTTTCAGCAAGTACCTGGAGGGGAGGAAGTGAGAAAGGTAAGTCAGACCTCCAAGATTCTACTTTTGGGATAAATAAGCACTAAGCACATTTGAACAAATCTGCATGTTCTGAAATCGATTTGGACTCTCGCAACAAGAAGAACCATCAAAGGCGAAGAAAGGAAAACAGCTAGTGGGGTGCAGTGGTTAAGAGTGTTGGGCTAGTATCTGAGAGACCTGGGTTTGAATCCCCACTCATGCCATGGAAGTTCGCTGGGTGACCTTGGGTCAGTCAGACTCTCTCAGCCCAGCCCCCCTCACAGGGTTGTTGTGAGGATAAAATGGAGGAGAGGAAACAGCTCTGGGTCCCCACTGGGTGGAAAGGCAAGGTACAAATGAAGTAAATAAATAATAAACAGCCATGGGAAAGGACAAAGTGATGCATTGAGTGTGGACACCTCGTACCCTGACCAGTGAGCGACCTCATTCCAGAGATAATCGGGGGAATGCACCGAGGTTATTGCATGCTCCTTCTATGGCAAATCATGCTGTCAGATGGGAGAGAGATTTCAGTTCAGATTTTTGGTAGGGGTCTTCAAGAATGTCACACAGAAAGCCAAAAACCAGGGAGGACCAAGGGGACAGTTTTGAGGCCAACAGAAAGCTGCACTGGAATAAGAAGATTCAGTGGAATAAAACAGGGGAGGAGAAATGAAAAGGAGAAGTCTTTGTCTGTCTGTAGCCGTAGAAAGAGCAGGAGTCCGGTAGCAGCTTAAAGACTAACAAAATTTGTGGCAAGGTAGGAGCTTTCGTGAGTCACTGCTCCGTTCTTCAGCTACAAGATATCAGATGACAGAGCAGTGGCTCACGAAAGCTCAAACCCTGCCACAAATTTTGTTAGTGTTTAAGCCGCTACTGGACTCTTGCTCTTTTTTTATTATTTCAGTTAACAACCAAGTGATGCAAGCAACCAGACAGACTAAGATCTGGAGCAGGAGGCCCAGGAGATGGGCAATATGCACCTACATTTTCAAACAGCAGCTGTTACTATAGAAATTACTGTTCAGCGTACCTGTACCTATCGTGGGAAAGTACCTGACACCAAAGCAAGCAGGAAATGTCAAGTCTCCACTCCGCAGTCTGTACCGAGGCTTTATACAGGATTGCCACTAAAATTTTATTTTTCATTTCCCTGAGTTTTCCTGACCAACGTTTGTCAATTTCCCTGACCACCATTCAAATATAACCACAAGTTAAAAAATGAATAGGTTGTGTTGCATTAATGCAAGGCTTAGTGAAATGCTCTACTCTACAACTACACAAGTCTCAACTGCAAAAATATTTGTCAAAGTAAGAGATTTAATATCAGCTTCTTTCAACATTAACTGCAGCAACATCTTTTGCAACTGCACCAAAAATTACACCAAGATACAAACTTCAATTCAAGTAAACTCTGAATGCTAACAAATGACATAACATTTCTGTTGTTGTTTTAAAAGTACACTAAATATTATATAAAAGTTCTTATCTAAAATGGTTGGGAAAGGGCATCATTGAGTTCTATTTGTATTCTGCTACTTCTCTATTCCAGTTGCCACAAGAACAGATCGTGCTCTTGCAGCAGCAGGTCAAAAATCCACTGCTTGGAATATATTTTAATCACAATTTCCCTGACTTTCCCTGACTTCAGACCAATTTCCCTTACTTTCCCCGACCAATTTCCATTTCCCTGACTTTCCAGAAAGTGGCAACCCTGTTATAGGAGTAGGTAAAAGGTAAAGGTTCCCTTGCTCGAAAGCCAGTCGAATCCGACTCTAGGGTTGCGGTGCTCATCTCTGTTTCCAAGCCGAAGAGCCAGCGCTGTCCGGAGACGTTTCCGTGGTCATGTGGCCGGCATGACTAAACACCAAGGCGCACGGAACACTGTTACCTTCCCACCGAAGCGGTACCTATTTATCTACTTGCAATTTCTTGCTTTCGAACTGCTAGGTTGGCAGGAGCTGGAACTAGATGGGAGATCACTCCATCATGCGGCACCTGGGTCTCAAACTGCTGAACTACTGACCTTCCACAGCCTGCAGTTCAGCGTCTTAACCACTTGAGCCACCGCAGCTCCTGTTATAGGAGTAACATACAGCTTATTTGTGGGGTCCCGTTCTGGGTGGCTCAGGTTAGCTTGCTCTTTTCAGATCTCGGGAGCTAAGTAGGGTCGGCCCTGGTTAGTATTTGGATGGGAGACCACCAAGGAAGTACAGGGTTGATACCCAGAGGCAGACAATGGCAAACCACCTTTGAATGTCTCTTGCCTTGAAAACCTTATGGAATCACCACATATCAGCTGCAGCTTGACAGCACTTTCCACCACCATTTGAGAGAGAGGTACAAATAAGCCCTCAAAAGGGCAGTGGCAATGCTCCCTCTAAGCTATGGAGTCCTGTGAGCTACTGGCATTAAAGTTGTGAGCGAGCAATTTGGCTACTGCATAAATTAGTTTGCTCTGGAGCCATCCCTTCCTGAGCCAAGACAAAAGGGTGTGAGCCAGAGGCTAAAAGACTGTGAGCTAGCTCACACTAACTCAGCTTGGAGGGAACACGGGTCAGTGGATGGAAGGAACTGGCACCTAGAGAGTTATTTCTAACTGAGTGGGAGGGACTGGAGAGGTCATGAGGCTGTCAAGAACTAAAAGTGTTCCAGAGTGGACAGAAAATTTAAAACACCTGATCGTCACTTCAAGGAGAAAGGGGAGGAATTTCCAGGTTGCCCTAATCCCACAGCCACCTCTAGTTAGTTTACAAAGTGTAATCCACTTGTAATCCTACTTCCTTAATATTGCAGTATAATGTGATCTTGAACTGACCTAATTCTTTGACAGACTCAACACGTTAGCCTTTACTTAGCAAGGTCACTGATTGCGGTGGACGGCCCTTATTAGAAACACACCACCTAAAGTGATCGGTGCTGACTTACTTTTTAATGACAGCTGGCTCTTCCAGTGCCAGGCTGTTCATGCACGCTGAAGTGTGTATGTAGTCATCTGCGACATCTGTTGAGAAAAGAATGCAAAAAGTTTACTCTTGCCTCTAAACAGAGAAGCATTTAGGAAAAAAAACCCAAATGAAGGGACTCAGTAGAGTAGAAGTTACTTTTATGTGATCTTGTCATTTTATCTGCCTTTGCACACGCATCCTTAATTCTGTTGTAGTAGGTCACAAGGAAAGTCTTCTCTTGCTCAAAGAAATCATCCACCTCCTGGAAAAGAGATGCAGGGGTGGCGATAGTACCAAAAATAACCTTTTGATCCAGGCAATCAGATGTTAACCCTCACAAATGAACAACCTTTATAACATGTTAAAACTTCTAGTGCAGGTGCCAGGGTTTGTGCAGGAGGACTTCCCGGCTGATAGTCTCCTAAATCTTTCACTTAAAAAAAACAAACAAAAACCCTGAATGATTTTGTGTAAGTTGATCTTTGAAACACTGCTCTCCTCCAGATATATCTGAGTTTCATAGCTCATTATAAAAGTTTCTCCAGTAAAGACAGTTTCAAGAATAGTAATGAGTAACCTTTTTACCAAAAAGGCTTGCCAAAATCTCTCTCTGTGTCCTTATTTCAAGTCTAATAAGACAAGCCACAGGAGAGGTACCCTTCAAACGGAGCATAGGAAAAAGAGCGTCCAACTCTGAATTTGGAAATCCAAGACAAATTGAAGTCTCAACAAGGCAAGCAGACAGCTGTACACATTTTCCTCAAGAGAACCAAGTATGACTTCTGCAAGAGCTCTTACCTTAACGCCAGAGAACAAAACTTCATCAGCACTCTTCACCACACTTTTGAAGAAGCCACCAAACATTTCCTTCGCATTTTTTCTCCGAACACTTAGCTAAGACAAATGATTAAAATGGTGAGACTATGGCTTCCTGCTCCGTCCACTGCAAGTATTATGCTGGCGTATAGAGAATATTGTTCGTCCAAGATCTGAAGCTCTCCAGCCAAGAAACCTGGATGTGAGGCTTCTGGCACCACAACTGGAATCTGAGGGGAAAACCTTCTGCGGCTATTCTGCAGATGGTGAAAAGCCACAGTTCTTTCCCTTGCTGCCCCTTTGCAATCAAACCCAAATTTATTTCTCTTTTTATATCCCGGGAATGCTCCAGTAAACACAGCAAAGCATGAAATAGTTACCTATTTTGCCTGACCCCTTTTCAGGCTCCAAAGTATCGGGTTGCAGAAATAAATGCCACCGTCTCGAAAACTTATTTTGTGAATCACATGTAAAAACCAAGTAAACTGGTTTTAGAGCTGCATGAAACTGGAACATGAAATGTTTGTGGAAATCCTGCTGCTCGCTATTACTTACAGTCTTATGACAATCTGGTTTCTTCTCCCATAGGAACCTGCCTGCCAGTTGAGCTCATTTTCATGGTGTGTATGTGTGAGATAAGAATCTTGGACAATGGATGCTGTAACGCCTCATCTGGGGAGCTGACTTCCCACCCTGTGACTTTGCCTCAGGGCCTCTTCCCTGCACAGCTGTTTTGGGCACTGTGAGGAGAGGAACACTGCCTAGAGAGGCCCGCCAGCTGTGCTTCTGTTACTGTCACTTCTGCCCAGCTCTGAAAGACACTTCTAACTGCCACAGGGAAGATCTACCCTCAAAACATCCCATATTAAAGCAACTCTCTCTTTCTGACACTATCAAGTTACCTACGAGGAATAAGGCTACAAAGAAAGGAGCATAGGTTCTGGCAAAATAAAGGAAAGTTAATAAGATTTTTAAAAAAGAATCTGATTGTTGTTACGTCGCTCGCTTAACAAAGTAGTCGGAGAGTGATTCAGCAAAGGTTCAACTTTATTCAACAACTCGAACACAACTCCAACACGGATCAACATCTGATAGCCAGAACAGCTTTTGCATTAAAGCTGTTCCCTTTTTAAACTCTCCCGGCTAATGTAGCCACGCCTACTATACAATTATCAACCAATAAGGTTGTATACATAAGGACCAATTACGGATGTTCCCGCTCAGGGAGCGTGCTGACCAGTGATTGGTTGGTTCTTCCTGGGATAGCAATATGATTGCTATTGAATACATTACAATTGTTAAAAGCGTTCAAACAAACTTAGGCAAAGTCAGTTATGTAATTCACATATCGTTATGCATTGAATGGCAGCTATTGAATACATTACAATTGTTAAAAGCGTTCAAACAAACTTAGGCAACAAGAGATGAAATGCTATGACTACTGGGCAGATTTATGACTACTGGGCAAATCTAGTAAGTCTCCAAGTCTGGGTAGCAAACACTGGAGGGTTCTCCAGGAACTTAGATGTGAAACTGCTGATCTAATAAGTAGTATATGCTATTAAACCCTTTTGTTTATAAGGAAGGAACACAGTTGTAACACTAATTAAAATGCACTGTGATGGGAAGCTATCATTCCTTTGCAATGTATGATTATATATTTAATGTGAAAAAAAAATACATTTGTTAACACATAAGGGAGCTGTAGGATACTTCCCCAGAACCCTGTGTTGTGCAGCTTAGGAACTAGTGCAGTGCACGGTGGTGGTGGTGGTGGGGGAGAATAACTGCCTCGTTTGGCGACAACACTCCTTGCACAGGCCCTGGTTCACCAGAGTCCAAGCCCACTGCGCTTCAAGTGCCAGACAAACATAGTTCGGTGCCGTTTGGGTTTCCTTAAGCCTCGCCATCTCAGCTGATTATGCTGGCTCTCCTCTACATGATTTCACTCAGAAGCACAACAAACTGCAGTGTTATTTCTGCTTCCCTCGATTTTTGAGATGGAACATGATGGGGTTCTTCGAGTCGGAACAATTCAACTGTTAGCTGAATAACGTAGGCCTTAATTCTGGTTTTTGTTTTGTGTTTGTAAGCTATGTTGAAAGCATCATGCTGGGACGGCATGCTAGATAACAAATACTTTCTTCACATATTTATTTATTTATTGTTTTCAATTTCAATTATTTTCGCCTTGCCGGCAAACTTGTCATGCTATTCTGGCTACAGGCAGACCTTTGCCACCATGCTAGAATGTGACGGCAGGATCCAGCAACCTGCCTGACAGCAGGAACTCTTTAAAATATTAAGAAGTGCTTCAGCATGAAGACTGGCAAGCCATTGTGAACGTTAGCTTGCTTCCCTGTTCCTTGAGTGGTACTCTCCGCGCTCACGTATGGGTTTGGCACCTGAGAAGATGCAACCTTGGAAAGCTCTAGCAAGAAACTGGTGCTCACAATCCTCTACTTCAAGCACGAGTTCTGTCCCTCTAAGCATGCCTTCAGGGGAACGGAGGGAAGAGGAGCTTCCCACTCAGTTTCTTTTGACCCCTACAGACAGCAAGAGAAGCCAGCAGCAGGGAAGGAGGTTATGTGGCTGTGCAGATAAGCAGTCGCAGAGGGTTTTAGCACCATCCAGGCCACACTGAGCCATATGCAGCAGATTCTGATCCTGGTAGCAGAGGGTGAAGGAATTACAGCTGTCCATCCTGGAGTTAAAAGTCAAAGCTATCTTGGCGATGTGCCATGACAGTTATTTTCTTCTGCTTTGTATTTACTCAAATGGTAAATTTCTGTGGAGAAGCCTGTGAAATGCTGGAGAATTTTTCCGCTGAAAAACGTTGCCTTTTTACACAAATCTGATGAACAAAAAAAATGTCTACCTGGGGGGTCTTGATATTTATAGCTGCCAAATGTGTGTATATACTGCACACATCCATGGGTATAGGTAATACAAGTGACAACTTGTTGCAGTCTCTGCTGTGCCCTTGTCTGTCTTGTCTTATAAAAAGGTAGCATTCAGCCATTAATCCAGCTATGGCAGTTCCTTGAAATGTGCTGTGGCAACTCATGCTCTGATCACATCTAGGTTGCAGTCCTGCTGTGTGCCTTCACTGGGGTTGCCTTTCAAAACTGCACAAAACCTTCCAGCTGGTTCAAAATATGGTGGGCCAGGCAGTTGTCGAAAGCTAGATAAAGGGATCTTACTGTCCCCTGGCTTAGACAGGGATGGTAAGATCCTTTTCTTTAGCTTTCCGACAACTGCCTAAGCCTTATCATTTAAGGCTGAATGTTTTATTCTCTTTTAAGGCCCTGGCTTGTTCTTAAGGATTGACAACTCTTCTTTTTTATGATTTTATGGTGTTGCTTTTACTTCTTTGGGGGAAGAGATCTGAACACCAGTTTCTGGGCTTGAGAACTCTCCAGAGATTTGCTTCTGCTCAGGTGCAGAATCCATATATGGGCCTGCACAGAGACTGCAAACAAGACCACCCCCCTTTTCCCCCTCGGACCCTAAGCATTCAAAGAAACAAGGAAAATGAAAATAGCAGGGATGAAAAAAATGGGCTTTTTTTTGCAAAACGCTTAGAAATCACTGTCGTTCGGGATTTCAATAGCCAAAGGGGAGACGTCATGCTAAGAGAGCCCAGACTTCCATCTGTCCTCATATTTCACAGTTTTAAATCAAGGCTTTTGTCACCATGCTGAGGAGCGTTCATTGTTGAGTGGGAGCTGGAGTGACAGACTAGGATTTGGGAGAGCCTGGTCCAAACCTCCCCTCTGCTGTGGAAGCTCAGTGGATGACCTTGGGCCGGTGTGTGTGTGTCTCTCTCACACACACACATACAAACACACACACACTCACACTCTGCCCACTAACTCACGGGGCTGTTGCTGTGGGGATAAAACTGTAGGCTGCTATGGGCCCCCCACTGGGAGAAAAGCAGGGCACTGATATCTTGAAAAGCAAAAAAGTACAAGGAACTCTTAAGCAGAGACTAAAATGAAGTTGTTAAAGGGGGCCACACAAATTGGCCTGATTCACTCCATCACAAATCCAGGTTCTTAATGAAGAATCCAAAACCCTCCTTGTGGTGGCCGCAGCTGACTGAGCTTCCTCAATGTCAGCGAGCTGCCAATGTGTTCTGTATGTCTTTCCCTCCCCCCCCTCCTATGCAGGTTATGGCCAGATCCTCATGAGCATGTCTGTATGTCTTATGAAGCGCTCATTTCTATGTCTCATGCATTCCTTTCGATATATGCTAGTGTTGCTTTGTGCTATCGTAATCAGCAAGGTCACAGGTGGGGAAAGTCGGCTTCGCTTAGTCTATAATGAACTAGAGTGTGAGAAGAGTCTAATTGTTTATCTTTTAGGAGACGTTTGTTCTCAAGCTTTGGGCGCGAGTTTGACAGCCCAACCGCGTGAGCGGGAACCAAGCCTATTGGTTATTGCTATTTTGAAATTGCTTTATTATTCTGTGCCCGACCATTCTGGTTATTCCAAACAGTGAGCTTGTTCCAGTTTCTTCATAGCTTCAATAAATATTACTTTGCTACAAATGTGTATTTGATTGACAGCTGTGGATTCGGACACTCAAAAGCTTACTGCAGGCCCACACAACTTGTAACTCACAAAGCCAGATGCGACCCAAACATGTATTCTGACCTCCCAGGGGCTAGGCAGCTCCTCGGTTTTTGCACTTTGACGGAGGCGACAGAAAGCGGGGGCTGAAAAAACTTTAGGTGGGGTCATCATGTCTAGTGGGGTTTAATGAACAATGAGTTGATCAAGTTTGGTTTACTGGAATCTTTTCTGCTCCTGACAACCAAAAAGACTGACTTACATCATGGTCGTACTCGAGGAAGACATGGAAGTTGTGATCTTGCCGGAGAACAGGGTGGGAAGAAATTCGCTGAAGGAAGACTTCATGTGATGATACTGTTTTCTTGAAGACTGCAAGGTATTCACTAGAAGGGGGGGAAAGCTGAGGTAAATTCAGTGCATTCCACATTGTGTACACCTCAGTTGGTAAGCCATCACTTAAGTATCAAAGCGTTCCCCAATCCACTAGTATAAGCACTGCTAGGCATCCACTTGCCAAATAGCTGGTGTTGCTAATAAAACAGCATCCATTATACAAGACAGAAAAGGTCGGATTTGGTACTTTCCCTCCAAAAAACCAGTGATGAGCACCTGAGCCAATAGTGCCAACCGTTTAACTGTGACTATGGTTCCCCAATTCAGTAGGAACAACATGTATAGATGTGAAGGTCTGAATGGTTTTTGAAGGCAGTCCATAAAATCAGAGAAGGATACAAAAGCAGTGATTAAAAAAGGAGGAAAGGAACTCGTGGAAACTGCATACATTGTGTGTATCCATGTATATTGTAAGTATATGGGTAGTATGAAAAACTTCATAAATCTTAATAACCATATTACTCAAGAACTTTACTACATGCAGTTCCAACTGGATAGCTTATGCTATCAAATGCCCTTATGCTATTATATGTTGGGAAAACACAGGAGTCTAAACACATGCACTGATAAGCACAAAAGCAGTACTCATCTCAAATGGCAAATGGGTACCCCACTAGCTAAACCTTTTTTCAGAGCACAATTAACGTCCCTCAGACTTCCAAGTTTGGGCCAGCCAAAGATCAGACTGCACAACCATTAATCGCTACTGAGAAACGAGGCTGAATGGATTATGAGATTAGATTAGAGCAACAGTGGAGGAAGACCCTAGATGAATCTGACAAGGCATGGGGTAGAGCTCATTTTAAAGCAGACAGGAAGGGCAAGGGTTGTGGTTCCATGGCAGTGATGGCTGCAAAAAACAACAACGATATTTCTCTGCCAGCACTGCATCAGATATTAGTCCTGCAGCATTCTTCTGGGTGGTCAAGGGCCTGTTGGGTTCTAGCTGACAGGAGGAGCTGGACTACTTTACAGCCCTTTGCAATCCTTTTGCTAAGCACTTTGCAGATAAAATCTCTCATCTGTTCTGACTTGGACTCTGCATTAGTGGTGAGAAGAACTGGTTGTGCACGTGGAGGTTATGCTGCAAGGATATATAGCACGGGAAACTGTTGATATTACTTATGATAGCACAGGGAAACTGCCATACAAGAGTAAAGTTACGAGCATCTTAACTCTTCTCTTTAATGTAATAGTTGTTCATCCTAGGAGCAGACCTACACAGCAAGATGTTTGCACAGAGATAACCAAAAAGTCACACTTACGCTTCCAGTTCTTGCTTCATTTTGGCAAATTCCTCCTTCGTCATAGACAGCTCTCCTTCCCCAAGTTTATGCATCTTCTCTCGAGGGCCATCAAAGTCAGGCTTTGCAGGGGCTGGGGGTATCTTAGGATGAAGAGATTTGTTACTGACTAGAACCTTATCCAGAAAGACAGGCCTCTGTAGTGGTCTCTATAGGAACTTCAAATCTGTTAACTCAGGCAGAGTACAGAAGAGCGGGTATGACTTCCCAGCATATGGCTAATAGTAAGCCTCCTGTGTGCATGAGATGTTGGGCCCCAGCATACTCGCCTTCACTATGTTTAGGGGATTTAACCAAGGACTGCGAAGTACCGGTAATATCTTGGTACTCTTAATTTCCGTACTATTTTATCTTACTAATATTTTACCGTAAGTATATAGAGATGCATCTGTGTCAGTTGTTGCTATTAATATACAGTGGCATATCCCATATACTCTCATTCCACGTTGCTGGAGCCAAGCCTGACATCAAGAGACAATAAATAGCCCCCTTCATTTCTCAGGATTCTAAAGTCCCCAGTACTCTGTAAAGGAGTAAACCTGCTGATCTAAGACAGGCTCAAAATTATACATATATTTTGACAAGTTAGCCACCAGTGTGTTCTACTCGTACATAAAAACCTTTAACATAAAAAGCTACAGACGAACAATTCAGAGTTCTGGCAAAGTAAGGTTTCCGCTTGTCTTACAGTTTTATCCTGCCTTTCTTGCCAGCAGCTTAGCGTGCTACACTTGCTTTTCCCTTTCTCCATTTAATCCTCACGACAACCCTGTAAGGTAGGCTACGCTGAAAGGGACTAACCCATACACACAAGAGACTGGCCCAAGGTCACCCAGCAGCAGTGATACTTACAATAAATCCTGCATACTCTTCTGTTTCAATAAGTATGTCATGTAACCACTCAAAATCTTCATGTAGTCTTGTAACAGAGAATTCTGTGCCCTGAAAACCTGGTAATGTAGTCTGAAACAGAGATAGGTAGGTTACTCTGATAAACAAGGATTTGGCAAAATCCAGAGTACAAGCACACAGAGTAAAATTAAAGAACGTTTACAGCACCAAAATATTAAAGAGTCTACAAATGCCCAAATCTACACACTGTGCATCTCAAACAGAAGGTTTAAAAGGGGGGGAAGAGAGAAAAAGGAGAGGTCATGAGGAAAGCAAAGAAAGAGAGAGAGAGAGAGAGAGAGATGACTTATCATTCCCTGTGGAGGAATGTCATTTGGACCAGTTTATGAGCTTGCAGCCTTCCTATAATCTGAGTGGACCCAAAGGTTAAGAGTTCCAAAAAGTGTTGCTGGCAAGGATGCCAAGTGGAATCCAGGGAGCAATTCAGCCACTACATGTAAGGGACGTCCAGAAAGCACAGCAGGGAAAGCAAGCAAGTTTAGACCCTTTGTGACCTGGAGCTACACACGAGCAGTTCTTGTTACAGCAGGCAGGGAACACCAGAGACAAAAGCTTGGATTTCATTAGGCTGGAGGAAGGGGAAGAAGTCAGAAGCAAGCTTAGAGGGAAGGAAGAGGAAAGGCTTGAGTGAAAATTAAGGATAGTGCCATTTGTTTGCTTGTTTACTTAAGTTTGTCCCACCCTACCCTGCACGCGGGCTCAGGGCAGCTTACAAAAGTCAGTAAAACAATAATTCATCATTAATCAATAAATTATAATTCATAAAATCAGCAATTGCAGTTAAAATTCCTGATGGCAGCTTAGTAAATTCAAATTACAGTTATTTACCCTACATCACTTGGCTTATCTGTTTAAACCTCTGACCCCTCTCATTCATTACGTGTGACCTAAGTGTTGTATTAATTCTGTAACAGTAAATTAAGTGTTGTATTAATTTTGTTGGTATTCCTTAGTTGCCCCAGAAAAACAGTTTTCTGGTCAAAGGGCAGAATATATATATAAATGAATGAAAAAGGCAGACTCTTCTATTTCAGTTTATTTTTGGCTGGTTAACTGCATTGCCTTTCAGTTGGTTTTTATGTAACTGTTTTCCAGTTTTATAAATTCTTAAATATGAATATTACAACTTTGCAACTGCTGTTAAGTTAACTTGAGGACCTATCAAGTAGAGACTGCGGGATATAAATCTTTAATCATTAAAGGAAAATGGTCTGGCTAGCAATTTCCTACAAATCAAGTATCTCGGCCATACACAATATAAACCAATGCAGAACTACTCCAGTCTAAACCCACTGATTTCTGTGAGCTTAGACTGGAGTAACTCTGTATAAAATTGCACTGCAAAGATGGTACCGTTCTAGCACAATGCCCCCCCCCACAGTCTTACCTTTGTATGAACTGTGAACTTCACTTTGTCTTTTTCACTGAGAGCATCAGGAATGTCAATTTGAAGCGAAGGATCAATATTAAGGTCCACAGAGACAGACCTCACCTAAAACAGAAGATGAAGAAGTTTAACTTTGAAACCAGCCAGTGTTGTAACTCAATGGGTAAGGAGGCAGTATATGCCCCGCCACAACAGCTCCTTAAGGTATGTTTATTTACTTGATCTGCAGTCCGCCTCATGAAGACTCCATGCCATTATAGAAAACAGAAAATGGAGTAAAACCTTTATGCAGTACCTTTAAAAAAGCAATGTAATAACTGGATTACAAAATCAGAACACATGCGCATTTAACCACTACACCAAACTGGCTCTCTACCATTTAGGGCAAAGAATGACAAATAACCTAGTGGACTTCTTCCAGTCCTGATTGTCATAGCACAATACTATCTTCAATTTATACCCACTAAATTTGGTGTAGTGGTTAAGTGTGCGGACTCTAATCTGGGAGAACTGGGTTTGATTCCCCACTCCTCCACTTGCACCTGGCTGGATGACCTTGGGCAAGCCGTAGTTCTGATAACAGCTGTCCTTGAAAAAGAGCAGTTTCTGTCAAGAGCTCTCTCAGCCCCACCTGCCTCAAAGGGTGTCTGTTGTGGGGAGGGAAAGGAGTTTGTAAGCCGCTCTGAGACTCCTTTGGGTAGTGAAGCGCGAGGTATAAATCCAATCTCCTCCTCCTCTCCTAAATATGGACAGGCGCATTTGTCCATTTGTACCAACAGAACTTGAAGATATGCCAGCAATGGAGATCTATGCCAGCGTTGCGCCACAGAAGCACTGGCCTAAGAAGTATAAAAATACTCCACCAATGCAATGATCAAAATACAAGGCAATGGGGATGTGGTGCAGGGAGAGAAGCAGGATTCAGTCAAATCCTATGCACATTCACAGAGCAGCCCTGCCCTCAGTAAAAGCATACTGTCAGAAAGGACCCCATCTGTTAAAACTTGCCCATTAAAATCAGCAGAAAATCCAAGAGAGATTAGGACTCTTACTGTCTGACGTATCACCAGCAGTATATCCAGAGCAAAGGGGCTGTGGCTCAGTGGAAGAGCATCTCCTTGGCATGCAGAGGGTCCCAGGTTCAATCCCTGGCATTGCCACTTAAAAGGACCAAGGAGGTGATGTGAAAGACCTCTGCATAAGACCCTGGAGAGCAGCTGCCAGTCTGAGTAGACAATACTGACTCTGATGGACCAAGAGTCTGATTCAGTATAAGGCAGTTTCATGAGTTCATACTTTCAAAACACCCTCGTACAGCCCAGCAAGGGAGGAGGAACCATACTGCAGCATATGCTTATGCAAGAGAATTGTTCTATAGTATTAGATCCTGAAATACTACTCAGTAATCCCCTGCAACTTCCTACAAGGCAGGAGTTTGCAACCTTTAACAGTTAAAGAACCAAACGACCTCACAAATCAAAGCAAGAGATCAGAGCAACAAATAGGCCTCACCAGCGAGAAACACAGTATGTTAAATCTGCCTGCAGTCAATCTTCACCCATACACTTTCATCAGTTGCAACATTATGGGAAGATTTCCATGACAGACTGAACGAACATCAAACATTAAACTTTTAAATTTCTGTGCACAACTCACAAGTGATGGATTGTGCTAGTTCACATTCTTCGGCTGCCAATCACAAAGTGTACAGAAACCAAGTGCAGTACATGCACACACGAGCTAGGCCTTTCTGCCCGAGGAAGCTATTTTTATGCCTTTGGCAATAGTAATTAAGTGGTGACAATACCACACCCAACTAAAGGCCTCACAACAAGCTTCAAATAAGTGATGCAATCTCTTTCCAGGGCTATCCTCCTATAACACAGAATTTTGAGTCTGAATCATTATCCATTCACACACTTGAGACACTGCAGTAGGAGAAGAGCCAAGAAGGGCTAGGAGCTTGTCAGGATCAGCCGGGCTCCCCTCAGGTGCACGAAGAGGCTGATGGTCTTTGCTGGTGGTTCACTATCAAGTTAAGAGGTTCTCAAACCACTGCAAAGGAGGATCTTGTCAGATGAGATTAGAACTGCACATCAACGAGCAGAAGCTGGAACTTGATTAGGCATGCTACATCCCAAAGCACAACCATGCAAAAAGTACCATGCAGTTTTGGAAAAAGAAGCCCTTTTTGACATATACACTGTCCATGTTTAACCAAAAACCTCACAAATAATGGAAAGAATAGGTATTTTCAATTCACTAATGTTTTACATGACCGCAGTGCATTTACTTAAGGCAATTCATCGCCTACAGAGTATTTAGTGACATCTAAAGTGTAATGTATTGAAAGTATTACATGAATCGTCTAATTCACTTCCCATGTTAAGCTTCAAGCCAGCCAAGGTTCCATCTGCACTAGCACCCTATTGGCCGCTTCCGAACAGCGACCAATCATAGCGAAACAAATTCCCAAAGCGGGAAGATCTTTCATTGGTCTTTATCCGGACAATCGTATTGGTTGTTAAATGTAAATAGGCATGGCTATGTTAGCCCGGGAATGTTTAAAAGGAGCATAGCTCCCAATGTTAATCCGTTCTGGTTATGAATGCGTTTAAGTGCTTGTTCGTTACTTCAATAAAGCTGAATCACTTTGCTGAAATCACTCTCCGGATCTTTGTTAGCTGCGATCTAACATAAAGTAAGCTCTCTCTATGGGTCTGTGGCATCTACCACCTCTAGCAATGCAGAATGAATTCCAACAATCGACTTGCCACTCTTCTCAAACATGCTAAAACATATCACTTGCACTTTGTTAACTTCGTCCCTACTAAACATTCAAATCTGAACTCGGGAGACCCCGTCACCCACCCTGGCTGAGTTTCAGAAGTTACACCCTAGCACAATATATTCCACATCAGCACGAATCACTACATTCATTGGCTACTCAATTGTTAACACAACCTACACTGTCGGAGAATACTGCTGTCAAAACAATATATTGCAGAGTCTGTGAAAAAGGGCTACTAGACAAAGAATCTGTTTCCTCTTAGATAGCATTCTGCTCCACTAACAGATAAAAATCCTGCAGGAAATTAAGAATTCAGTATGGGGAGCTGTCTCACATGTTAACTGCTTGCATAAGAAACACATTATCTATTGTTTTTGAACACGAGACTCATTTTAACAAGATTTTCCGTTGGTGCCATATCTGCACAGTTTGTGGGAAGCCCTCCTACTCCTGCTGTTCAATGAACAACTCATAATCTTATTTTGCCGAGACATTAGATGTTAGGAGGTAGCTACAGAGAACTGCTTCATGTGCAGTGCCATCTTATCAGCCAGTTCAGTAGCTACATGTCTATGGACAGTCTCGTACTGTAGCACCTGGCGACAAGGCAAGGAGAGCTATCACTGCCTATAACACCACTGGGTTAGCACATTGCATGGTCAGATTATTCTCCATATTCAGATTATTCTACCAGTCAGATTATTCTACCACCGCCACCAATGAGGTGGACAACATCGGGGTTAAGGATGGCCCAGGAAGATCTGCCACAATTTCTGCGTGGCCACTGGATTTACCTGGTTGAGCTATAGGATAACATCACCCTGGAGAACCATCCGGAGACCATCTTGTTAAATTGAGTATAATTTTTATTAATTGTCATTAATGTTTTATTGCTTTTATCTGTTTTGTATGGGTTTTCCCCTTGTGGGCCACCCTGGACCCGCTCTGCGGGGAGGGCGGGGTATAAATCTTAATAAATAAAATAAATAAATAATATGGGTGCAGTCGGCCTGCAGCAAAGCCTTAGGTCCTTAAATCGATCAACAAGGCCCAAGCTATTTTTTCTCTGGCTGACCATTTACTCTAAGTTTCGCCTTCTGTGATAAAGGTGTCATTATTTAAAAGATTACAGTTTGTAACTCCCCTGAAAGACATTTTTCTAGCTTTCCTTGAGGCAAGCCTCCCTAGGAGATAATAGCTGGGTTGGAAGCCTACTGAAAATACTTGTATTGCAGGAGTGTGAGCCCGCATCAAGTGCAGCTGCTGGGTAAAAGACACAAGTCCTAACTTAACCCTTTCAGCAGGAACCAGGCAGAGCAACTATTGCTCAGAAGCAAGAGGAGGCTTTTTCTCTCCCCCCACCACTGGCCAGATGGGTCTAGGAGGCTGTGAGTAACTTTTTTTTTTTTTTAAGGGAGCATGATGTAAATCACTTCCCATAGGAAGCCGCAGGACCTTGACCCAATCCCAGACAATCTGAACAATTATCAGCCAGTAGCTAACAGCCCTTTCTTAGGTTAGCCATGAGAGCGTGTGCTAGCTATACAACTCCATACAGCCTCTGAAGAGACATTACCTAGACTGATTTCATTACAAACTGAAGGTTGGTTTGGGTTCCAAATGATTACCATGACTGATAATATCTAATGAGAGAAGGGGGAAGGCATTGTTGATCCAACTGGATTTCTCATTGACAATGGTACTGAACTTCTAAAAAGGCTATATTGCCCCAGATCCCCAGGGTATCCACACTGGTAATTTCACTCTTGCTCGGCCAGTCATTTCCAAAAGCTGGTGCAGAGCAGCTGGCTGCTCAACTCCATCACGGCGGCTCTGCACCAGCTTCTGGAAATAACCAGGGCAAGGAGCATTTAAGAAATTCTCAGTATCAGTTACAGCTTTTGAAATTTGATGGAGTATACATCATGCACACAAACACTTATGCCCAGAATTAAACTTTGTTGGTTTTAAAGGTGCCACTGGACTCAAACTTTGTCCTATTGCTTCAGACCAACATGGCTACCCTCCTGAATCTAGCTTTTGAAATTGTGTTCGTACACTGAATTTAGTCTCAGCATGATTTAGAAGCAATAAAACTGCATGTTTTCAGCAAGACTTCTGAATCACACTATAAGCATCACCACTTTTATACAGTCTATATTCTAATTCAGCAGCATTTAGCTAGCTAAATATATGATCTCAGCAGTTTTCCAATAGTTCCTAAGAAGTTTTTGCAATTATTTAGCTCACTCATACTCTGAAAGATCACGACAGTTTATTCCTCTTTTTCTAGTCATCACCATCACTTTTCCTTCCTGTGCTTGTTTCCTGTTCTTCCTTCTGCCAATAAGGAAGTGAAGATATTTTCACTATTGTCTTTAGTTAATTGTTTTAGCTACTCTTCTGTAAGATGCATCTGCAGAGGAGCCTTAGAGATCCAACTGCTGGCAGACCCATAAAGGCTTCTTCATGCTACTTTTCTGTAAGATGCATCTGCAGAGGAGCCTTAGAGATCCAACTGCTGGCAGACCAATAAAAGCTTCTTCATGCAGATGCGAAGAACCCCACTGATGAGAGCCTTAGTCTCTATACTGGAATGTTAACTAGCTTCTGAACAGTAGACAGACTGAAGACCTTGCTTAGAAGACAAAAATTACTGAATAACAGCCTATTAAGTTTTGCAGAACTTTGGAGCTGTATCAGGATTCTTGCAGAGAAACCAGCGATTATTCAAGAGGCCTTTTCTGTGCAGGTAATAGTGTTGCACTGTACAAAACGGTTCACAAACTTATTTGGATAAATGATTAGGGACTGCGGACTATAGAGTTACTCATGGCTTACTGTAAGTAGGATAATCTTTTGCCATTTTTGTATCTTTTAATGTGTCACAGTAATACTTATGCTATGCTTCAGTTCTTTCTGGTGGTTCCGGACTTCTAAAACCCTGATGCACTTTTTATTGAAAAGACTGGCCCTGTTTTGCCTTCTTTAGCAAAAGCAAGCTGAACCTCTCTCCAGTGGGTCACAAGGCCAGGAAGAACAAGCTGAGCTGAGAGAGGAACTGCCATGTTTCCTCCACCTCCTCTTCTCCTTCATCCACATGGGAAGTCTCTAATCAAGCAAGCCCAGGTTCTGAGAACAAGCATGTGAGGAAATCAGCAAGACAGACTGCACACATCAGGTCCTGCACAATTGCTGGCAAGGGCTCAGCAAAACTGCACTCTGCTTCGCTGACTCCTGGCTAATATGGTACAGGAGGCAAGAAGGTACAGGAGGCAAGAAGGAAAACAGCCTATGCCCATCACCCCTCACTCAGCCCCAGCCTCTCACAGGACTGGCATGGGAAGAGATAGATATGGAAGAACTTTATCTGCTACTCTGACCTCTCGGTAGGAGGGGTGACAAGAAAAATCCAGTGGAACAGTCAAGACAGTGAGGCCCCTCAACACTTCCTTCTCTCCAGGACAGGCCTTCATGAGTAAACAGATTAAATTTCCTGCCTTGCCTTCCCTCAGAGTGACAATGCACTTTGCCCCTTGGTCCTTCACCTCTCCAGTAGAGGCCTGCTTCTTCAACCAAGACAGTGGGAGCCATGTCACACATATACAAAATGCAGATTATATTTACATATTTATAAACTGGCTGCAGCTTTTCTTGAGTGGGTGCAACTGGCTGCAGCTCTTCTTGGGTGTATGGCAGATTAGGCTTTGCCTCTACAGAACAGCCACAAAACACAGCCTGTTAATATAATTAAATGTTACAAGTGAAAAGTAAAACCTTAACTCATTCAGTGTTAACTGAAAATCACGTGGTAACTACTGGGGAGGGGAAAGTAGTGTGGAACTACTTGATAAGTGAGTCTCAAAAGACAGACTACATTAAAATACAGGTCCCGCTTCAAGATGTTTGAAAGCCACACTGACAAGCTATACTTGCGTTAAACAAATCCAGGAGGCACACCCAGTCCAAGTAACACACTAAAGACCAAAGTGATAAATTAGGAGCATTTGAAGACTGAAATAAATGCTCCAATCATTTAAAGAAGGGGATGAGAGCAGGTCTTTCCCACTTAAGCCTTCAACCCTACCCAAGAGCCAGGACTAGTACCAGACACCAGGTATTTTTTTTAATCTTCAGCTTATGGCCATCCTCCACAACCTTCACTAGGAAGAGTTCCTTCTCAAACCTTAATTGCTGTTTTTTAAACCAACTTCTGCTATCTCAAATGATTTCTGCTTTATGTAATAATTTTTAAAATGGATACTATTATACAACACAGAACTACTAGCAAACTTTCTGCAAGTGAGCTTGGCATAATATAACGATGATTTTGAACATTACTAAGGTATTACTAAGCAGTTCTGCAGTCTCCACAAAACAGCTCGCAATTCAGCAAAGTCTTCTTCTCGAGGTTAATGCAAAGTCAGTCGAAGAAGTCCCACTTGATTCTGAAAACAGCAACAACCTAATAAATAACAGTATACAGTAGAGGGAAATTTGAGCCCCAAAAAGCTGGAAAATAGACTTTGCCTTTACAGAAGGGTGACAAAACACAGCTTGTTACTTAATATATAAATAAACGTTACATGTGAAAAATAAAATCTTAACTCGGTGTTAACTGAGAATCACAGAGATACTACTGGGGACAGGAAAGTAGTGCAGAATTACTTGATAAGCACATCCCAAAAGATAAGAATACCTTAAAAATAGGTCCCACATCTAGATGTTTGAAAGCCACATCGATAAGCTATACTCACATTAAATAAAACTAGGAGCATTACCCAGTCCAGCAGCTCTAGAGAACTAAGTGATAAAATCAGGAGCTTCTGAGAACTGAAATAAACACCCTAATCATTAAAAAAGAGAGAGAGAGAGATGACAGCAAACCAGGCTCACTCCCTACAGAACATTCCCACTCAAGCTTTCAACTATACCCAAGAGCCGGGACTGGCACCAATACACCAGACATTTTTATAGTTTCAATTTATGGCTATTCTTCAGGAAGAATTGCCTTCTCATCACTTGACTGTTGTTTTTTAAATCAACTTCTGTTATCCCAAATGGCTTCTGCTCTGTGTGATACATTTAAAAATTAAAACCAACGGATGCTATTTTATAACACAGCACAAATCGGCAACTTCGTGCAACAAGTGATCTCTTGACATACTATAAGCCCGAATTTTGAGCGCCCCAGTTTCAGTGGCAACAAGGCACTGGTCAGCAATTCTGTTCTACCCGGCAAGGCGGGGTATAAACTGGAAGCAAATAAATAAATAAAAGTAAACAGAACGGCTGGTGGCCATTCAGCAAAGTCTTCCCCTTCTTGGGGACGGGGCGAAGCCAGCCCAAGAAGCCCCGCCTGAGCCTGAAAACAGGAACAGCCTAATAATAAATAACAGTACACGGCGAAGGGGAACTCCAGTCCCCCAAAGCTGCAAAATAGACGCTGTTTTTTTTAAGGCGCCAAACTGGACGCGAGTTTTTCCCCGTTCTTAAGTGACACGACTCGGCTGACACGTCCCCCACCGGGAGCAAACCCGGGTTTGCACCCCTGCGTAACGTGTGAATGCGCCTGGAAAGGACTGCGAGCAAGACAGACCTGCTTCTTACCTTACTCTCTGCCGTCACCGCCTCCTCCGCTCCGGCGGAAAGAGACATGTCGGCTGGTTGGTTGGTCGGTCGGCGAGCCACCCGCCACTGCCGGTTCTCCTCACAGCGTAACCGCCCAGCCCCGACTCCCTCGCGCCCGGCTCCCCAAATCACGACGGACGCCCCTGAGGCTCCTCCCACCCCCTCTTTTGCCCCGCCCACTCCCGCCGGACGCCGAGGGCCATAGAGAAAGGCTTTCGGATGCCTAGAAGGGCGCCTAACGAGCACCTCCTCTCTGGTTTCCGCTTTGCCCCTCCCCGTCCCCGCGTGACTGGAGAAGCGGAGCGCTGACAGAACGTCTCAGCTCTTTTGGCGCGAAACCAGGGGGGGAAAGGCAACCTTTGCGAGGGCCTTTTATTAGGACCCAGCTGAGGGACAGAAAACACTGGAAGCGGAATTCGCGCTTAACAGAATGCTACATCGGGCGGGTGTGTGTGTGCATTTAAACGAAAATAGGAAGACAGGTGGGGAGCAGGTTTTCCGAGCCTTGGTGCCCCGACTCAGTTTGCAAGCAAGGTGGCGTTTTCCCTCACAGGCGGGAAGCGCTTGGGGTCGGAGAGGCCATCTTTGTTTGGGGCAAGAGGGAGAAGTCGCGTGTCTGGGGCGAAGCGGCGGTCTCTCAAGGCACTGCCCTGAGTCAAGATGGCGAGGGAAGACGGATGCCCTGAGCCGACGCCAGTGTCACGTGGCATGAATGAACCAATGGGAAGCTCCTGTGGGCGGGGCTGCTGTGACAGGTCGGCGGCGCCTGCAGAAGTTTCAGGGAAGCCCCTTTTCGAGTCGGCGTGAAGAAAAGGTCGCCTGAGCATCCCGGGGCGGTGAGTCGGCACCGAGTCCCTCCTTTCCATTCCTGGTCAGTGTGCGGAAGATCCGTCATGCGGCTGTGATCCTAGAGTAGACGCGCTTAACGAGAAATGGGGCTCTGTCTGGGGATGAAGGCAGTCTTCCGGGGAACATGGTTGCCAATCTCCAGGCGGTGGCTGGAGGAGATTTCCTGGGATCAGATCACCTGGAGGAAATGGCCACTTTGGGAGGCAGACTCTATGGTATTGTGCCCCGTCAAGGGCCCTCCCCTCCCCAAACCTTGCCTTTTTCAGGTTCCACCCCCAAAACCTCTATGTATTTCCCAACCTGGAGCTGGCAACCCTGTCTGAGGAAGGACCTTACCAGATAAACCTGTCAAGGTGCCCCCCCCTTATGTAATTTTTATTAAGAAACAGTAGGTACAATTAACATTAAAGTGAACAACAAGCATAACACAACACAAACAACAAATTGTTGCTAAAATGGCATGTGACAGGGTCGTGATCGGAATAATATTTTTGACCAATTTGAGCTGAGTGGGCTTTGTTCACTATTGAGGATGTGATGAAAATATAGCCTATCCTCGTGTGGACCTGAAAACGAGGAGAGAAGTCTGTATAGTCACGTTCTCTGGCATGTAAAAATCTCCACACATCCACTAGGCCCAAGTTTTTCATTATAGTTTGTAGGCCAGCAGGGAGAGTTTTATTATTATTTGTATTTTCCCCTCAAGAAGTAAAATATGAAAACTGTGAATGCAGTCCTCATTGGAACGGGCCTGTAGCCAGGATTTTTAAATTCGGGGGGCCTTTGAATGTTGGGCACCCCACACAGACACCACCCCCACGCCCCCCAAGTAAAATAAAAAATTGGAATGGGGGACCTGGGCTGGATGGGAAGTTGGGAAGGTTGGCAGTAAGTCGGGGAGGCTGGGCCCTGAGATGCCCCACTGTAGCTACAGGCCTGCATTGGAACCAGCCCATCCAAATTACAGTTCCTCTAATAGTACCTCAAAAGCTGCCAGTGCAGGTGGGGCTGCCTTTCTCTGTCTACATATCTGTGATCACAGCGTGCCAAGGATAACCAGATTTTGCTTCAGACCAACACCTGAATCCACCTGAACAGATCTTTTTTGTTTGTTTGTTTGTCTTTTAGAATAACAGGCTGTAGAGGTGTTTCTCAAATCAAAAAGGAAGCCCCAGGACTCGGCCATCTGTAACTACTGCCTGGCAATATGGGACCAGCTCTTCTTTTATACAAAAAATATTGCCGGCTCAGCCTGTTTTCGGCAGGACTGGTCAACAAAGAGCAACTCCTACGCAGATTCCTTACCGCCTCTTCTGGTCTTTATATGAAGAAGAAAACCAGTGAGTATGAATGCGTTGACCAAGAAAAGTATGGAGATTTGGTCCGCTGTGTCACATCCTTCAAAGATAGTTCTCAAACACCTGAGTCATTATTCGAAGAAGACAATAGGCTCTATGGACCAGTGAGTAAACGTAAGCACCTAGCTAAGGAGGCTGACCCACGCATTCCTGGAAACTGGGTTCCGCTCATGAATCCTGCAAAGAACTCTCTGCTCCAGGAAGCCTCCCTAAGACCACCTCTACGGATCGGTTTGGAAAGGCACAAGATGGCCAGCGTGACAACCGTTCTGCAGCAGACCGTGCCCCTGGAGCAGGCCTTTTTTCTGGAGAGATGGAAACGGAAGATGATTCTGGAACTTGGACAAGAGGGCTTTGCAGAATACACTAAAGGTAAGCCATTAAACGCACTGACTGTATTAAAACGTGGCCTGAATCTTCAGGCATTGTAAGTCAGCATTGCCGTCTATACTAAAGAGAAAGACTTTGTACTAATAGCAGGTTGTTTAGAAGTAAATGGCTTTACGAAGGATGACACCTTTTCAGTGGCTCTGATTTTATGCCTTTAATCTGCAATCTGACATGCAGAAATCAAGAAGATGGAATTTTACCTGCCCTGTGTGACTGAACCAGGGAAATTATCATCTGTTTAACTTCTCTGTAAAAAGCTGCAGTTGAAGGTATCAAAGTAGCACCAGTTAAAAAGAAAAACACGATACTTCATAAGCACTTAACGAAATCCTCGTTGATTATCAATGCATCAAGAGGGAAGTGTTTGGGCTTCTTCTTAACCTGTAGCTATTGTCTTATCACCGAGCAAAACTTTATACTGTGGTGGTGGTCACTAGTCTAGGGGTCTCCAAACTTTTTGAGCCTGTGGGTCCCTTTGGAATTGTGACACAGGGCAGTAGGCAGAATCACAAAATGGCTGCCACTGGAGGTGGAATCAGTCGCAATTGCAGGAAGTGGAGCTAACGGCATGGTTATATACAGCTGTAATAGTACCTCATGTTTAAAATTCTTCGTAGGGAACTTACACCACTTCCAGATCCTAAAGGTTAATTCAGAGCATAGTATATCACTTGTTAACCCTTTTGGTTTGGGTGGGAGAGATCTAATCATCTGCTTGAAATTACAAGGGTTTAGAATCAGAGTTGGAAGGGACCTTCTGGGTCATCTAGTAGGATGATTGAGGGTGTTTTGGAGAAAATCTGGTGGGTTTTTTGGCTACTGGTAGGCAGAGACACTTTGAGCTTGCTTGCACACTATCCAGGTAAAGATCCATGTTTGGCTCACCCTAATTGAGAAGTGTGTCAGTTTTCCAAGCAAGCGCCAAAAAAGAAGGGAAGAGGTCCTAAAAAAGGAACCACTGGGTTAAGACCTCCACTAAATATTTTTTTCTGATTCAAATTGAAATAAATGTTTAAATATTAAAATAATGTTAGCAAAAGAAAGCAAATATACCACGTGTAAGCCTGGACCATAGGAAAGTCCTGGGGTTTGTCCATGTATCATATCCACAGTTAGCCCTTCTAATTTTACAGCACAGCAGCCCTGGGAATTATAGATGAACAGACTGTGTTTACATATGTGGAATGAAAAAAATTTCACCCCACATTTCTGGGTACTGCACCAATCTTTGGCATTCCTGCCCTGTGTATTGTTTGGCTCCCCCCCCCCCTGTGTCTTCTGATGAGCTGTTAAAACATTTTTATTTGTTTTTTGGTCTTTTTTTGCATTTTCAGTGGGTAGGTGTGTGTGTATGTGTGGAAGTCCTGGTGACCTCCAAAGCGCTGGGGGTGCCGTGGGGGCCAAAGAGCCCCGCCGCTGTGTCGAAGAACTGGGCCGGGGGCAGGCCCGGAGAACCCCACAGCTGGGTCCCCCGTGCCTGCACAGGAGCGCTGGGACCTTCTTTTCCTTCCTTCCTTCCTTCCCTCCTTTCCTTCTTTTCCTCTCTCCCTCCTTCTTCCCTTATCTCTTTCTTTCCTGCCTTCTTCTCTTTTCTTTTTTTCTCCTTTCCCTCCTTCTTCCCTTCTCTCTCTTTCTTTCCCTCCTTCTTCCCTTCGCTTTCTTTCCCTCTTTCCTTCCTTCTTTCCTTCTCTCTACTATCTCTTTCCTTCCCTCTTTCCTCCTTCTGTGGCCCAACTCTAGTGAGAAGGGGTTTAAACTTTAAACCCCTTCTCTCTTCGTCCCCCCCACCCCCCGTCAGGCCAGCTGGGGAAGGGAAGGGGAGCCTTTTGAAGATGCCTCCCCCCCTTTTGTCAGGGGGCATGGCATATGCTAATAGCCTAGTAGCTTATTAGCATACCATATGCTAATGAGCTCCTGCAGCTCTTTTTCTATGAAAAGACCCCTGGTGACATTCAGAGAAGTGGCTTGATAGCCTGCCTCTGCCTCCCAGCCCTGGTATTCTCTGGAGGTCTCCCATCGAAATATTTGCCAGGGTTGGCCCTGCTTAGCTTCCGAGGTCTGATGAGATCGGGTTTGCCTGAGCAATTCAGGTCAGTGTCAGGTGCAACAGCAAGTAAATCTCCACACGCATTTCCAGGGAAGTGTTATGCTTTATTAGGTTACAAGTCTGTTACCATGTCCACAAGATTATTGTTAGGAATGACCATGGGGTGGAAACATCCCTACATATAGCAGGATGAGGCAAATGGCTAAGCAAATGAAATTTGAGCATGCGCGGGGGAATTCTCCCGGCGGGAGGTTACATAATAAGCGGGAGAGTCTCAGTGCCCCATGAGAGCCGAAAAATTTACACCTGCGGTAGAACGCAAGCCCTCCCCCGTCACAAGGTCAGACAGATAACTCAGTCTGGCAGCACTGGTTCTCACGGTCTCCCTATCGCTGTTTACGGCAAGCAGCAGAGCAGCGAGCAAGCTATGAGGCATGCGCCGTAGCGCCAGGATCAGAGAAGGGAACAAGGAAAACATGGCAGCTAGCTGACATCCAGGGGCAAACATCTCTGTTTCTGAAGGCATTTTAAATTTTAAAGTATCCTGATTTTAAACTGTGGTTTTATGGTAATACGTTTGGTTTTTCAAGCATTGTTTTTAAGGTGGGTTATGTTAAAATTATTGTTGTCAACACCGAGCACTTTGAACAATTACAAAATGTTCCAAATAAATATAAAACCAGAATTTCTGCGTGAACAGCAAATCTTGAAGACACTGGGGTGTGAACTGGCCCCTATCTGTGTCTTGTCCCTGAATTGGAACCCCTGCTGTTGGTCGTGACATTTTTCTTGTTTTGCAGATATTTTCCAACAAGGTAAGCTCTTCCATGCGGCTGTGGAAGAGTTATTGTTAGCTGAAGAAAACCCTGTGCAGGATCAGGAAGAACACAGCAGCACCTCCAGCTACTTAGCCAGCATACAGCATGTGCTCCAAGATGTCTCTGGAGTGAGAGCCCTTGAAAGCGCAGTACAGCATGAGAATCTTCGGTATCAAGGCCTAGTGGACTGTGTGGCAGAGTACAGGTGAGGAGCTCATTCTGAGTAACACAATGGATGCAGTCTAGCCATAGGGTCAACATTTTAAGTCCTGCGGAGCTATGTGGTAGGATTAGCTACATACTTCATTTCCCTGTTAAAATCGTGAGACAAAGGTGTTGAACTTTGGCTGGACCAAGCCTTACATTTTTAAAGCTGCTTCTAGATTTATAGCCTGCCTTGTACTGAAAACCCAGACAGAGTGGACTTAGAAACTCAGGAAGAAGAAAAAGAAGAGATTGGATTTATACCCCGCCCTTCACCACCCAAAGGTGTCTCAGAGCGACTTACAAACTCCTTTCCCTTCCCCTCCCCACAACAGACACCCAGTGAGGTAGGCAGGGCTGAGAGAGCTCTTGACAGAAATTGCTCTTTTTCAAGAACAGCTCTTATCAGAACTACGGCTTGCCCAAGGTCATCCAGCCAGGTGCAAGTGGAGGAGTGGGGAATCAAACCCAGTTCTTCCAGATTAGAGTCGACGCACTTAACCACTACACCAAACTGGCACTACACCAAACTGGCTTATCACATCCCCCCAAAACCTTGTCCATCACGTGGTCCTCCTTGCTCTCATTCCACTGATGAGCTGAGCCTAAGAGAGGTGTCTGCCTAACGTGTTTTCTCCGCTAGGCCTCCAGGGCCAACCCAGACCTTCCCAGAGGTGCGCGAAGCCGCGCACCCCGAGAAAAATCCCCCCCCGTCTCTGCCTGGCTGAGGCTGTTCTCGGCAGCAGCTGCGACACCCGTGGGGGACGGGGCGAAATGTTCTCCTGCCTCCCTGAGCCCCGGGGTGGTGGCCTTGGACTCATAGGGGCAAATTCCACCTCTCGTGAGAGGTCATAGAAACGGCTCTTTTCCAAGAACAGCTCTTATCAGAACTACGGCTTGCCCAGGGTCATCCAGCAGGTGCAAGTGGAGGAGTGGGGAATCAAACCCGGTTCTTCCAGATTAGAGTCCACGCACTTAACCACTACACCAAACTGGCTTATCGCATCCCCCCAAACCTTGTCCATCACGTGGTCCTCCTTGCTCTCATTCCACTGATGAGTTGAGCCTAAGAGAGGTGTCTGCCTAACGTGTTTTCTCCGCTAGGCCTCCAGGGCCAACCCAGACCTTCCCAGAGGTGCGCGAAGCCGCGCACCCCGAGAAAAATCCCCCCCCGTCTCTGCCTGGCTGAGGCTGTTCTCGGCAGCAGCTGCGACACCCGTGGGGGACGGGGCGAAATGTTCTCCTGCCTCCCTGAGCCCCGGGGTGGTGGCCTTGGACTCATAGGGGCAAATTCCACCTCTCGTGAGAGGTCATTATGGCTCTCCCAGCTGTCCTTCAGGGAGAAAGGCAGCTGATCAATGTTCTGAATAAGTAAATAAAGACTGTTAACATTGACGCATAATCTCTCAGTCACATAAGAAGAAGAAGAAGAGATTGGATTTATACCCCGCCCTTCACTACCCAAAGGCGTCTCAGAGCAGCTTACAAACTCCTTTTCCTTCCCCTCCCCACAACAGACACCCTGTGAGGTAGGCGGGGCCAAGAGAGCTCTCCCGAGAACTGTCCTTGAGAGAACAGCTCTGACCAGAACTACGGCTTGCCCAAGGTCATCCAGCAGCTGCGAGTGGAGGAGGGGGGAATCAAACCCGGTCCTCTCAGATTAGAGTCTGTGCACTTAACCACTACACCAAACTGGCTGAAATAGAACTTGAAGCAGCCCTTTTTTTGGCCTCCGGACAGACTTGCTGGCACTCATAACCAAGGAGGTGGTCTAATTAAGCTTGCTAAGGTAGCATTTGCATGTTTCAAAAGTGGCTGGAGAAAAAGGGCACGCTGGCATCCCTGCAAATGGTATTAGAGCTCCCCGCAGTGATGTGGGGAATCTCGGATGGGTGGAGGCTCTACTTGAAGCTGGAACTGGCTTAGGAGCCATCTGAAAAGCTTGGAGCCATCTGCCTCGAAGGTCTCAGCAACCGTGCCAGGGGCACTTGCTTGGGGCTGGAAAGGAGAGCAGGTGCCCACTCCACAGTTGCACTGGGTGCCCAGGGAGATTTCAGGCAAGACCCTCCCTTCCCCCTGATCAGTGGCTGGCCTTCAAGATTTGGGGTCATATGGCTAGACAGAACTGAACTATGTTCTTATACTGCATTTAACAGAGGGACATTATGCGTCATTGACTGGAAGACTTCAGGGAAACCGAAGCCACTTCTTCGGAATACGTTCGACAATCCACTGCAGATTGCAGCATACGTAGGAGCCGTTAACCATGATGCTCGTTATGACTTCCAGGTCAGTAAACACGCTCTTCTTAGGGCAAAAAGTTCCATTTGAACCTGATGCTTTTCATCCCCACCCTGGAACTGAATCTCTTTTTCATCCTGTGGTATTCTGAATAAGAGTGAGGGTTAAGGGTTATCTCTCCCCATATGTCCCCATGTGTATAGAAATATTGATTTCTAAAGGTCTCATGCCTTCCCCTGGGACGTCTTTCTGATCCCATGTTTCCTGTTGAAGCCAGATGGCCTGCACATTTGGTCAGAGAGGCTCAATTGCCATGCCATAAACACACATTCTTCACACCTCTAGTGGGAAGGCCAGGCCTGATGGAGCCTGGCCCTGCCTGCATGCCCGAAGTCACAGAAGTCACAGACGTCAAGTACAAAATGAAGTAGTTGGAGTTTGGGGGTCACCTGACTGCAGAGGGTGGTCTCCAAACCTAGCCTATCCCCACCCGTTACCATGACCACCAACATCTGGACACACCCTTCCTACTCGCAGTTGGCTGAATGGCCACAGCTGATTGTGACTAGATTGGGGTTTAATTGTCTCATCCCTTGGAGGAGAGCTCTCTCTCTCTGTTCCTGCTCTTCCTGCTGCTCTGTGTTCTGTTCATCTGAGATGCTGTCCTGCCATGTGGTCTGTTGGCGAACATTAAGGGGCTGCTGTGTGAGTTGAGAACATGTTTGCAAAGATGGGTGTCTTGATCCTAAAAATCCCTTGGTGCTCCTTGGATTATTCTAATGGACCATCTTGGACTATTGATTCCTTAAGTTGGTAATTATGCATATCTCTAATGTTTAGCTTTCATCCTAAGGAATGGGTTACCTGAAGAGGTGGGGGTGGGGGATGCCACCTCTTAAGGTTTTTAGGAAGCACTGCAAGTCCATTGCGTTTCCCAGGGCTATAAAAGGGTGTAGGCTGCAGGTGCTTTTCAGGGGGAAGGAGGATATTTGGTGTTCGACTGTATTTTGCACGTTGTAAGTTTAGATTCATAAGCTGCCGTGAGCTACAGGGAAAGGTGGGGTACAAATATTGTACTTAATAATTGAATGAAGCTACTCTGTTGCATCGCAGGACTTACAAAGTTTGAGTCCAGTGGCATCTTTAAGACCAACAAAGTTTAATTCCAATCCTCAAAAATAAAAAATTTAATGAGGAGTTAAATAAGCTGACAAGAAAATTCATATGGCAAGGAAAAAAAGCCAGAATAAAAGAAAAATTCTTAAGAGAAATTAAAACGAGAGGAGGATTGAGTCTTCTGGATTGGAATTTATACTACCAAGCTGCAGCATTAGGATGGATAAAAGAGTGGGCATTATTAGAAGACAAAAGATTGTTAAAGCTATAAGGTCATGACCTACACATGGGCTGGCATGCCTATGTGGTATGACAAAGATAACATACAGAAAGGTTTTTCTAATCATATAATAAGAGGACCCCTAATGCAAATATGGAGACAGATAAAAGAAAAAAATTACGTAAAAATTCCGAAATGGATATCCCCCATCGAAGCCTTTGTAATGCCGTCGCTAATGACAGAAGAGAAAAATATAACATATAAGAATCTTTTAAATGAACAAAATGAACTTAAGTCCTGGGAACTTTTACAAGATATGCATGTGAATCTGTCAATATGGGAAAGGAACCAGTTAATCTCAAGATTCACTAGAGATAAAAAACTAGGCTTCTACGCTAGCGAAATACCACTAGAAAAAATCTGGTTACGAGAGACAGACAAACAGATAGGGAAAATATATAATTTATTACT